TTTCCCTTTTTTAACAGATAAGCATGCTAGCTCTATCATCATTTCCACAGATATGTATAAAAACTATATCTCACATTCAGATAAGCATAAAAGCTATAGTACGGCTCATTGACGACATCACTTCGATGCTTGACCAACCTCCGAACCTTGTCATTTTTTCATTGCCGACTTATTGATGATGGTATCTCTGTTATCGGAGCATTAGAGAACCTGGAAATTTTGAGGTTTGGCGACTCTTATATCAAGGAATTGCCAAAAGAAATAATAGGTCACCTTGCTCACTTGAAGGTACTTGATTTGTTGGGATGTGTAGTGGAAAGGATTTACCCAGGGGTTTTGTCAAGCTTATCAAAGCTAGAAGAGTTGTATGTTGGGTCTATATTTCGAAGTTGGTGTGAAGTTGAAGAAAACAAAGAAGGTGCTAAAGCAATTATCGATGAGCTGGCGTCCTTGTCCAATTTGGTGGCTTTGGATATTGATCTAATAAACATTTCCTTCTGGCCGAGAGGTTTGGTCATTGAGAAGTTGAAAAGGTTCAATATATGCGTTGGTTTTGGATTTCACTATTACACCCCTTTATGTTATCCTTTGTTATCAAATCAGTTGCAGCTTGAAGTTGAAAACATGAGTGCCATTATTGAAATGAGGCTTAATTTTCTGTTGAAGAGCACTGAAATTCTGACTTTAAACTCAAGTGTAAAAGGTTTGAAAATTCTCTGTGATTTGGTCGGCGAAGGTGGTTTTGAATGCTTAACGTATTTGTCACTAGATAAGTTGTATGATTTGGAATACCTCATCAATACAGCAGATGGGGTTCCACAGAGTGCTTTCCCTGTGTTAGAGTTTCTGCATCTTCGTGAGCTACATAATTTCAAAGGGATTACTAGTCATGAATGCCGACTACCGAACAAGGCTTTCAGTGCATTGAAAGTGTTGAAAATAGAAGACTTGCCTCAACTGACAAATTTGTGGAAGGGTCCCACCCAACTTGTATGGCGCGGCAACCTGACGACTGTACGAGTTCATTCTTGTGGTAAACTGGAAAGTATGTTCTCACTTTCCATAGCTAGAGATCTAGTGCAACTGCAGCACTTTGAGATATGGAATTGTCCTATGATGGAAGAAATTGTTTCGAGTGGAGGAGTAGAGCATGAAATAGCAGCAATAGCAACAGATAAAATCGAGTTTCCTAAACTAAAGAAATTGATTCTTCGAGGCCTTCGAAGTTTCATTGCTATCTGCAAAGCCATGAATGCAATTGAGCTGCCACAACTGAGTTCCTTGGCACTGTTTGATATGCCAAAGCTGAAGCGTCTCTGTCCTGCTTCAGATTCAGAGAGTAATTGTGATCCCATCATTCAACCCCTCTTCAACGACAAGGTATGCTTTTCTTATTTAAGAGCTTAATTAATTGCTCATTTGTGAACCACTTCTCATTTTATTTACTATTACATCTCTATTTGAGTTTTAAATTTTTTCATAATTGGGTAATAAGATCGCCTGCGTCACTTTTATGCCATATTCAATATAAATTGTGTTTATATACATATTCGTATTTGTATATCTTTATTCATACCAAATAAAAATAAATAAAATTTACCAACCGAATTACTATGCATAAAATTCATACAAAATGATTTACAATCTTGAACCACAATGGTGGGCTTTGCATTGAAGTGAGAGGATCATATAAGGCCATGTTGTTCTGTATGGAAAATTTTATTTTAAAAAACCAAAAATTAGCTTGATCGAACACTAAGTGCCACTGGATTAGATTACATTTGTATAAAAATAATTAACAAATAGTATAACTTTCAAATGTAGTCAATCAAATTTTTTTAGACAAATGAGATCTAAAGAACTAAATTTTTGGTATGAATGATCTTTTAAGAAAGTCATACAAAATGAATGGTTCGGATCTCTACAACAAATGAACAGTGCGGTTTGCATCACAACTACAACAAATGAATAGTTTGGATCACTATTCAGGTCAAAAAATTACATTCACTTTGTATATTTAGTAATATTTAGTAATGTGACATTCTATTAAAATATCTAAATCAACTCTCTCTTAATTATTCTCTAATTATCAACCAATCATCTTATTGACAAATTATTAAATTTAAAAAATGAATTTATAATGTAGACTTATATATTATTTTTTTAATATTTATATTGTAATATATCATTGAGGTGGAGCCCACCCCATAGAGCAAAAAGTTGAGAAAATTCATCATTCCTTTTTTTGGTATGAATGATCTTTTAGGAGGGTCATACAAAATGAATGGTTCGGATCCCTACAACAAACGGAAGTGCGGTTTGCATCACTACTACAACAAATGAATGGTTTGGATCACTACAACAAATTTTAGAGAAAAAATTTAGAAACAAAATATTTTAGTTGCCAAAAAATTCATTGTTGTATTTTTAGCGATGAAAAAAGACATTTAATAATAAATTGCTACCTTTTTGGAACAATTTTTTGTCAAAAAATAAACCTTTTTAACACCAAATTATTTTATTTCTAAAATTACATTAACCAGTGATATTTTAAAATTTTCTCAATAGCCGTCATTTTTTTTACTTTTGGGACCATCTTTTCCTACCGATTGAATTTGCAGCCCAATATTTTTTTGTAATAATATATTTTCACTTTTGAGGATAAAAATATTTGGTTGAAATTTGAATCTTAATATTTTTTTAATAATATTTTCACTTTTTGACGAAAAAATGTTTGTTCCTAAAATATTTATGAGTATTACTATCCAGGTCAAAAAATTACATTCACATTGTATATTTAGTAACGTGAAATTCTATTAAAATATCTAAATTAACGTTCTCTTAATTATTCCCTAATTATCAACCAATCATCTTATTGACAAATTATTAAATTTAAAAAATGAATTTAAAATGTAGACTTATATATTATTTTTTTAATATTTATATATTGTAATAAATCATTGAGGTGGAGCCCACCCCATAGAGCAAAAAGTTGAGAAAATTCTTCATTCATTTTTTTTTTTTTTTGTCAACCCACCAAGCTCAACAACTACATGAAGAAATAAATCAATTATCATAAAAGTATTAAATTGCTCTCTATAAGAATTGATTTGGAAATTTTACATCATGAAAAATGTTACATAATTACTAAGTCAATTTTTCTGCTGATCAATTTAAAAATGATATATTTGAGTAGTTTCAATTTTAAAATATTTACTCAAAATATCTTTTTAACTTTGGTAAACTAACTTAATCGTTCATTCATTTTGTCCGGATCATAATGACTAAATAGAGATTTAATTAAACATTATAAATTTAATGTAAATTGGGTTTTAATTTATTTTGTTCTAATAATAACCTGAGATATTAAACTTTATAAAATAATAAGAGGAAACACTATGGAGCACGCTCTTTAAAGGGTGTGCACCATATGCATCTTTTAACTAAAAAGAAAAATGATATAATTTCATATTTTATGAGTCATAACTAAAAAAAAAAAAAAAAAAATCATAACTAAACCCAACATGAGACATAACTAAAATTATGTCATAACTTAAGAAAAAAATTGATTAAAACCGAAAATGACATAACTAAGGGTGTACATGATACACCCCTTTAAAGGGGGTGTATATTAGAATTTCCCAATAAATGAAGTGTAAACTGGGTTATGTAGGCTACAATTAAGTTAGCATCTGTGCAATTTTTTAGTTAATCACTATATATATAGTCAATGTAATTATATAAGAAAAGATTTAGGGAAAATTATATTTGTCGTTTTTGTATTTTAGTCTTTTTGACATTTTAGTTCTTATAATTTTAATTAGCTCGATTTAGGCTGGTCAACAGTTGCCTCGACCTCTAAATTTTGATAAAATTTAGGACTCACAATTAGGAATAAGTATCATGTGGTTTTATTTTAAATTTATGTCATAATTACTTCAATACTAATTTAATCTATTTATTTTTTTTAATTTTATTGTGTCAGGTCATTTTTGGTTTGTGTCTATTTAATGTTTCATGTTAAAACTTTCACTCAGTTAAAAGTACCAAGTGTATGGAGAAATTAAATTTTTTTTTTTTTTGCAAGTTAAATTTTATGAAATTAATCTCTACTAAATAAAATTATTCATAAAATATTTGATTTCAACTCAATTATATTTCCTTATTAAAAAAAGTATAACATATAATTATTATATATTTTTTAATAGAATGACTCTAAAATATGTAACAAACAATTCATATCTTAAATGAAAAAAATTATAACATATAATTATATATATTAATAGAATGAATCTAAAATATGTAACAAAAAATACATATCTTAAATGGAAAAAAAAATAAAATCATATTAGTCTAACTTGTTAATTTCGTGTAAGGTTTAAGTTATATGGAAAATTCTCACCTAGCCCTAACTATTTTAGGAAACTGAAAAATAAGAATTTAATCCAATTAATCTAAGTTCACAATCAAAACTGAAAGGTCATAGTAAATTATGAATCTTATTAGTTCTATATTTAAAAAGGGCCTGGCTTCCTTTTCCATCCGTGATCGGACTGGAGGGTGTTGTTTGGTTCGTGGGGGCTCACCACGGGTCTCATTTTGATAATTCGTATAGCGACTCCGGTCTTTTCCCATTTGATTATTGTATCCGGACTTGGGTTCCGTAGATTCTGTCATTGTATAATAGTTGTGGCCATTCTTTTTCCTTATTTGGAGTTATAGGTTGTGTTGGGTGGGTCTGTTACAGGTTGGTTGAATTTAGATGCCAATAGGTGATGTCCAGATTTTGGCCTTCACGCTCGAGCGGAAGTTTTAACGCTCGAGCGGGCTCTTCGTTGTTGCTTCTCCGCTCGAGCGGGAGTTTTGACGCTCGAGCGTGGTTTTCCATCTCCCAGTACTTTACTCTGTAGTTCGTCCGCTCGAGCGGTGGTTTTTACGCTCGAACGTAATATCTTGTTTTTGTCCTTACGCTCGAGCGGAGAGTTTGACGCTCGAGCGGATACCATCGCCTGCAAAACTTCTGGAAGTGTGCAATCAGCGCTCGAGCGGCTCTTTTCACGCTCGAGCGTGAGTCTGTGTCTTACGCTCGAGCGGGATTTTCTACGCTCGAGCGTAGAATCGACTACATCAGTCCGTGATTTCACTTTTTGGATCACTTTTTGACCTAGTTTTTCTCTCTTTACTTTTAAAAACCGCCCCTTGAGAGTTTCTCTCTCTACTCTTACCTTCTCTCTAAGATTTGATCTATTTCCGGTGGTCTTCTACCCTAGTTCCTTTGGAAGAAAGGTAGAGCTTCGCGAGAGCTTTGTTTTAATCTGAGAAACTTGGGATTTGGAGCACGTGGGTCTTTGGTCTTCATCTCCATCTTCTCTATACGGATTATTTTCTTCGAGGTAGGGATTTCCTACTCCATCCTATAAGTTTCTGGCCGATTTATATATTCGGGACATAGTGAGGTTACACGGGGTTCCAGTGACGATCGTTTCAGATAGAGATCCTCGTTTTACTGCCAGGTTGTGGCAGAGCTTGCAGAGTGCCTTAGGCACTAAGTTGACCTTTAGCACAGCTTATCATCCTCAGACTGATGGGCAGTCCGAGCGTACTATTCAGATCCTTGAAACATATAATGTTAATTAATATATTTTTAATAGAATGACTCTAAATATGTAAACAAACAATTCATATCTTAAATGAAAAAATTATAACATATAATTATAATATATTAATAGAATGAATCTAAAATATGTAACAAAAAATACATATCTTAAATGGAAAAAAAATAAAATCATATTAGTCTAACTTGTTAATTTCGTGTAAGGTTTAAGTTATATGGAAAATTCTCACCTAGCCCTAAACTATTTTAGGAAACTGAAAAATAAGAATTTAATCCAATTAATCTAAGTTCACAATCAAAACTGAAAGGTCATAGTAAATTATGAATCTTATTAGTTCTATATTTAAAAAGGGCCTGGCTTCCTTTTCCATCCGTGATCGGACTGGAGGGTGTTGTTTGGTTCGTGGGGGCTCACCACGGGTCTCATTTTGATAATTCGTATAGCGACTCCGGTTTTTCCCATTTGATTATTGTATCCGGACTTGGGTTCCGTAGATTCTGTCATTGTATAATAGTTGTGGCCATTCTTTTCCTTATTTGGAGTTATAGGTTGTGTTGGTGGGTCTGTTACAGGTTGGTTGAATTTAGATGCCAATAGGTGATGTCCAGATTTTGGCCTTCACGCTCGAGCGGAAGTTTTAACGCTCGAGCGGGCTCTTCGTTGTTGCTTCTCCGCTCGAGCGGGAGTTTTGACGCTCGAGCGTGGTTTTCCATCTCCCAGTACTTTACTACTCTGTAGTTCGTCCGCTCGAGCGGTGGTTTTTAC